GACGTCGACCTCCTCCTCCACGACCGCCCTCCTTGGCCGACTTCTTCTTGTCAGCATCCTTCGCCGGCTTCCCACCACCGCGGTGACTGCCACCTGACTGCCCGCGCTGTCCCGGTCGATCACCTTGCTTCACAAGGGCGACGTAGTTCACTTGCGCAAGGAGCTCCTGGGACCGCTCAGCCTCCTGCATCGCCTCGTCTTGCACGTTGTACGAGGTCAATGTGTCATCGTTGAGCGTCGCCCGCGTGCTTGGCGCCATCGACAGCCGCTTCAGCAGGTTGTAGCTGCTCGGGAGTCCTTGCATGACATGCGTGATGTACGAAGCCGTAGAGTATTGTGCGCCAGCCATCCATATGGTGGCGAGAATTCGCCGAGCTCGGTTGAAGTAGTCAGTCGCGGTCTCCTCGTCGCCCATACGCAGGTGCGTCAACTGCCCCTCAAGCTGGGCGATGAACAAGTCGTCGGTGACCTGGTAAGTTGACTCGATGAAATGCCACGCCTGGTGGCCAGCGTCGAGGTACTCCCTGCACGACTTCAGGGCAATCTATACGCCCAGCGAGCAGCACCGCGAAATGACCGTAAAGGTCAGCTACTGCACGGCGCAAAATTCCGCTCGCAGGTCGGGGTAGTGCTCCTCCGGCGTCGCCACGGTTCCGCGGGCGAAGCCCATCAGCCCGGCCATCTCCAGGTGGGGCTCGATGGCTTCCTCCCACGTTAGGATGTCGAGACGACCGACCAGCGGAGGTGAGACCAAGATCCTGTCTGGCGTAAACTTGAAGTAGCCGTAGCTCGGCGCGGTTCCTCCCGCGGTCACGCGAGTCGCAGACATCGGCAACAATTCACTTCGTCTGCCTCCGACGTAGTTTCGCGAGGCCCCTGCAGCCGCCGATGACTGCATCCCTCGCGCCTGAACGCCGCCGACTTCATCAGCGCGAATCACACGTCGTTGCCTCGATGTGCCTCCCGCGCTGCTACCGACTTGGTCACCCGTGGCGTTGACTCCCGCCTCGACACCGCCCGCGTTGTTCACCGGTCGAGGAGATGCACACCAAGAAGGGGGGTGCTCCGTTGCCCACAAGGCGCGGATGCCAGCCTCGACGACCGTCAGCGGGAGAGATCCGTACTCGTTCGCCGCATGACGTCTCCTCGCGTCCTCCAGCCGTGCTTCCAAGGTGTCCACGACACCCGCCTCTACTACGGGGTCCACCATGGCGTCCAACACAGCTGCCAGTCTACGAACAAACTAGGTGAGTTAGAAGTCAGCTAAACCGAAGGCTCCTTCGCGGTGTCGTCCACGCTCACCGCACCATGCGGAGATAACTAGTGCAACAGGAGCTAGACTACGGGCTAGGCACGGGGCAAGAGTGATCGTAGCGTTCGTTCGTTCCTTTGTCGTTTCCAAGTGCTAACACTACTTGCTAGTTCAACGGGAAAATTGGCAAGAGTTTCACTAGGAAAACATGACAAAAGTTCAGAATCATTACATCAACATTGGCAACACAGACTACATCAGACCTAGCAAGGCTGCTGGTCGACTGCCAGCGCAGCACGGTCGACCGCGTGCCAGCACGATTTGGTCGACCGCGCTCCAGCAGAGCAGAGTCGCGGCTTGCCAACGTTGCCCGTCCACGATGTGCCAACGCTGCAGTAAGTCGGCTGCACAGGGATGCATCCGTGGGACAGCGGTGCACCAGCTTCGCAGGTGCGTGCAACTGGTTGGCGCCCAACTCCCCGTCACACGCCCAGCGCAGACACTTCACCCGTGACGGCGCCCACCAGCCACGTCTACCTCGGGATACCATTCTCAAGGTCGTCCTCGCAGACAACATCCCCGGCGACTCTCGCACACGTCGCCCGGGTATCCTGGTTGACCGGGTATTTCGCGGTCCTACCGCGATTCCGCGGCTCCCACGGTCCACTGCGACTTCGCGGCTCCCACGGTCCACCGCGATTTCGCGGCTCCCACGGTCCACCGCGATTTCGCGGCTCCCACGGATCCCCGTGGTTTCGCGGCTCCCACAGACCCCCGTGTTTTCGCGGCTCCCACGGACCCCCGTGGTTTCGCGGCTCCCACGGACCCCCGTGGTTTCGCGGCTCCCACGGACCCCTGTGGTCGGCTCCGCCCAAGCAAGGATGGGGCCAAACACAACTCCCGTTGACATGGATGACATGTCGGAAGCAGAGCGGATGGATAAATATATCAGCGGCCTCAAGTACGAGATTCAATACGAGGTTCGCAGGAGCCGCTTGACATCATTCCAAGAAGCAGTACGGCTGGCGGAGTCAACAAATGCGCTGATGCAGTATGCGATAACAGGTTCTTGGGAGGGAATCCGTTTTTGTGGCCGGACCCATCGGGCCACAATCAACGCCGTCCAAACACCTGACGGCCCTCCTAAAGGACCGTGTTATATGTGTGGGAAGACGGGTCACTACATGCGCGACTACCACGAGAAAACGCCGCTAACGGGGAACGTTAGAAGGAGCAGGGAAATGGGAAGAGTCAGCAATTAGCGGGCCCTTTAATGACTGTGCTCCGTCGTCCGAACCCCACCATCCCCACGGGGTCGTGGTTCCGATTCATACACTCGATTGCACTCGGCCAAATAACAGGGATAATAATATGGATCACCCTGTGCTGGTCGCTGGGATGGTGTTAAAGAATAGCTTGAAAATATTCGTCGATGGGGGGACCAGCCATAGCCTCTTCAACTTGGCGACAGCAAAAAAATGCAAGCTGCAACTTGACAGGTGTCTGCCTGAAATCAACGCTCGCCTCATGGATGGGACGCCTCTGGCGATACTGGAAGAAACACAGACGGTTAAGATCAAAAACGGCAATGATTTCGACTTCAGCATGAAATTTCTCGCGACGATGCTGGATGGCTGCGACGTGCTGCTGGGACGTGATTGGCTGCGACAGCACAACCCTGTCATCGACTGGACAACGAGATCGTGCAGCATCAACAAGCACCGGGGGCTAACCAAGTTGTCTGCATAGACACCTGACTACATCCAAGCCCCGTGCATCAAAGCTATCACTATAGCTCGCCACTTCAACCGAGGCGCGCAGTTGTTCGCAGTTTGCTTACGCGAGTTGGCAGTTTACACCGACGAAATAAACATTGAGAAGCTGAGTGCATCTCTACCACCAGATTTAGCAGAGTTAATACGACGATACCCCGACATCTTCCTATCAAAAGACTAAGCGAAAATGAATGCATTGAACAAAAAATTGGTACAAGTACTAACCCTAATTGGGTTGTACCCCATATGGGCTACCCCACTATAGCCTACACAACACACACAACAAAATAGTTTGACACACCCCCATAGGCAAAGTGGGGGAGAACAAGGGGTCACAAGACCAGTCAAGTAAAGCAAAGCAAGTTCAGGGTGGATCACGAAGTCACCACACACTTTTGAGCACAAGCAAATGGCCACAAGGCCAGTTCAAATGCTGAGTTATATAAATGGGAACAAACAGTATAGTGATCACAATCTAGCAAGTGTAAGCATGCAGGTTTAAGGATATAGATCACAGTACAAGCAAAGTCACGAAGTGAGCAAGTGATGCAAAGTAGGCACAAGGCCTTAAACAGTACAGAAATGCTGATGATCACTAGGCTGAAGTGCCTTGGTGAATATATCAGCAGTATTGGACCGAGTGGCCACGTAAGCAAGACGAAGCTGTCCACGCTGCTGCAACTCTCGAGCAAGGAAGTAACGCAAAGCAATGTGCTTCGTTATATGCTCCAGTCTGTGCTCCTAACACAAGGAAATCATGGCCTTGTTGTCTACGTACAGAACTGGAGGAGAACTAGGCCGCTCTCCCAAGCCGGTCAGCAGGTAGGTGAGCCAGCGTAACTCCTGTGCAGCCATGGCCCCTGTGTATATCTCAGCCTCACAACTGGAGCTGAGAACCGAAGACAAGCGTGTAGACCGCCAAGAAACAGAACCGGAGCCAAGGCTGAAGGTGTAACCCTGTGATGACCGCTGCATAGCCAAGTCGTCAACCCAAGACGCGTTTGCGTGCCAAGTGAGAAAAACTCGACCCCGTCATCCAAGCACGAGCCCCATGCACGACGTACTGCACAAGTAGCGCAACACCCTCTTAGCGGCCTTCCAGTGCTCTGGTCGGGGTCTCCCGGGCGCAACGTAGCGAGCTAGGATGCTAAGAGGGTAGGCAAGGTCAAGTCGAGTGCAGGTCATCAGGTATATGAGGCAGCCCACAAGCTCTAGATACGGGCCACTTGGCTCTACGGACTCGTCCAAAGGTGGAGCAGAGAGCGAGTGACCGGTAGGCAAAGGAGTGGATTATGGTGAGGAGTACTGGAAGCGGAAGCGCTGAAGGACCTGGTGCACCATGTGTGACTAAGTCAAGGTGATGGAGCGCCGTGCTCTGCCCCGGATGATCTGCAAGCCAAGATAGCTACGCATCTCACCCAGATCTGTGCACGTGTGTCTCTTCTGTAGCTCCGACTTCACTAGGGCCAGTGCCTTAGTGTCAGCAGTGGCAAAAACCAAGCCATCGACGTACACGAGGATGTAGAACAGCGGCAGCGAAGTGTCAGTGCGCAGAAATTGCGACGGGTTAAAAGTTGAAGGAGCAAACCCAAGAGCCGCAAGCGTCGTCCTCAATGTGTCGTGCCACTCGCGAGGCGCCTGGCAGAGATCGTAGACTAGCCCTTGGAGGCTCCACTGGGTACCTGCAGGAAACGACCCAGCACAGCCAGATTGTGAGGATCTAGGATCGAGCTCATGAAAGAGAGTTTGAATTGAATGATTCACCCGGGTACAACAAGAGGCTATATATAGTCTTGACACAAGGCGAGTTCTAAGGCAATATATTGTTGCAAATGTTCTGAGGGTCGCGAAGCATCCCGAACAGAACCTTTCTGAACTCAGTAGAAATCAATTAGGTGGCAACCGAAAAGGCTTGAGTTCGGTACATATAACCTAGGTCTGTGCTAAAACTATAATAACATATAGGAATGCACCTAACCTAGGAAATCAAGCATATCTATGCATAATAAATAAAACCCAAGGTAGAAATTGCTTAATAAAGTAAAGGCAAGCAAGCTAAGCCAGCATAAGTTGTCGTACTCTCACACGTCCCCCCCCTCAAAGCTTGGCGGCGTGAGATACACCCTGATTGACAAAAAAGTCCCTGAGAGTACCGCGTGCGTTGCCCATACGCTCTTGTAGCTTCTTCCAATCGCGGATCTGGGATTTAAAGGGTTTAAGGAAAAGTTGAGGGATGGGGAGGGCAGGTGGGAACAGGGCAGAGGGTGGGGGGAAGGAGGGTGAGAGTGCGGGAGGACGGAGAGAGAGTGCAAGGAGTAGGATGGGGGGAAGCAGGGAGGGGGATGGGGGGAAGCAGGGAGGGGGATGGGGGGAAGCAGGGAGGGGGATGGGGGGAAGCAGTGAAGGGGATGGGGGGAAGCAGGGAGGGGGATGGGGGGAAGAAGGGAAGGGGATGAGGGGATGCAGGGGACGGGATGGGGGGAGCAGGGGAAAAGCTGGGGGGAAGTAAGGAGGGGGATGGGGGAGAGTAGGGAGGGGGATGGGGGGAAGCAGGGAGGGGGATGAGGGGAAGCAGGGAAGGGGATGGGGGGAAGCAAGGAAAGGGATGGGGGGAAGCAGAAGGGGATGGGGGGATGCAGGGAGGGGGATGGGGGGAAGCAGGGAGGGGGATGGGGGGAAGCAGGGAGGGGGATGGGGGGAAGCAGGGAGGGGGATGGGGGGAAGCAGGGAAGGGGATGGGGGGAAGCAGGGAGGGGGATGGGGGGAATCAAGGAAGGAGATTCGGGGAAGCAGGGAGTGGGATGGGGGGAAGCAGGGAGGGGGATGGGGGGAAGCAGGGAGGGGGATGGGGGGAAGCAGGGAAGGGGATGGGGGGATGCAGGGGACGGGATGGGGGGAAGCAGGAAAAAGGATGGGGGGAAGCAGGGAGGGGGATGGTGGGGGGAAGCAGGGAGGGGGATGGGGGGAAGCAGGGAGGGGGATGGGGGGAAGCAGGGAGGGGGATGGGGGGAAGCAGGGAGGGGGATGGGGGGAAGCAGGGAGGGGGATGGGGGGAAGCAGGGAGGGGGATGGGGGGAAGCAGGGAAGGGGATGGGGGGAAGCAGGGAGGGGGTTGGGGGGAAGCAGGGAAGGGGATGGGGGGAGCAGGGAGTGGGATGGGGGGAAGCAGGGAGGGGGATGGGGGGAAGCAGGGAGGGGGATGGGGGGAAGCAGGGAAGGGGATGGGGGGATGCAGGGGACGGGATGGGGGAAAGCAGGGAGGGGGATGGGGGGAAGCAGGAAGTGGGATGGGGGGAAGCAGGGAGGGGGATGGGGGGAAGCAGGGAGGGGGATGGGGGAAAGGAGGGAGGGGGCATCCCAAAAATGTTGGGCTGAAAACCTCCCCCCCAGGTTACCCCCAGCTTACCCCCTGGTGGGATACCCCGGGGTTGTTGTTGTTGGAAACAATAAGTCCTAAGTGCGCTTCTGTCGTATCAAAACCCAAGGCACCAAGCGAAGCAGTCCCAATCGAAGCATCGAGTCAACCTCGGAGGTTAGGGTAACCGCCTGGAGGTTACGAGAAAGTCAAAGGTCGCTGACCTTTGACTCGACAATCACAGCGCGACAGTTAAGGACACACAACTGACTCGTTACAGAGCAGTTGCCCGAGTCGCACTGTATCGAACCGCAACAGCAATACAGTTATCTACCTATCTATTCGTATTCCCTGTACTCTTATATAAATCCTTGTATTTGCTTGTTTAATTTAATCTACTTTGCTCTCACACACCAGTGCAAGGTCGGTTCACAATCCTCATTAAACGCTTCCGCTATTACAAGTTTTCTACCCAAGAGTTCTCCTCTGCAAAGATCCTAAGGCCTATTTTTCAGCCCAACATGGTATGAGAGCTGACAGGGGAAAACTCTAACTTTTTTTATCATTACAAGACATGGCAACAAACAAGGAAAGGAGCTCCCCTAATGGCTCCTCGGGCACTACTCCTACTCCACCACCAGCCTCTGGCCTGCAGACAGAGGAAGGCACGGCAGCAAGACCAAGGGGAACGTCAACCGAGACCCCCACGAACCATCCTTTTGACTTCGACCAGAGCATGATGGAGAAATTTTTCTCCTTCATGTCCTTCTACGAGCAACACCAGCAGTCGGGACCTGCACAGACACACAACAGCAACAACGGAGCGACACCCATGAGCCTTGACGGGTCGTCATATGCGCGAGGGAATCAACAGCAGCAACCCACCTTCGCCCCGTACGAACGCGGGTCGATCAGCTTCCTGCCTCAACCTCCACCTGCGCAAGACAAACCAATGGATGCCTTACAAGTACAGTCGCAGTTCGCGCATGTTCTGAAACTACAGACGTCAAGACCTTTCGACGGAAAGGACTTCTTTACCTGGTCCTTTGAATTCGAGTTGATGATGGAGGGCGCGCAGATACTCGGCTTCTTCGACGGATCCCTGCAGTATCCAGCAAACGGGACACAGTATGAAAAGCAGCAGTATACGTATCAATCCATGATGGCGTATACTATTCTACTGAGAAACATCACACCAACCCAGCAGCAGAACATTCGCTCCTACCGGAACTTCGGCAACTCGGCGGAACTCGCGTACGGCCATCTGAAGAACCTGTACCAGGCAACAGACAGTGTAAACCAGAGCAGGTTAATGGCGCAGCTGACAACAGTGGAAATGAAACCAGGAGAAAAAGGGTTGGCGTATATCAGCCGATGTCGCGAATTGCGCGACAAGCTTCTTCGATGTGGAGGGTCAATCTCTGAAGACGCCTTCGTAACAGTCGTCATCGGCGGCCTCGGTCCTCAGTGGCGCGCCACCAAAGCAATTCTTCGAGCACACGGGAGGATCTCCGAAGCGGCACTTTGCGCAGAAATTCACGCGGAACAGCAGGATATGGACCTGCAAGAAGAAAGACACAAGAAAAGGACATTAGCACCGGAGTTTGCTTTCCATACTCAGCGACGACACAACTACTACAACAATCGACAGCAGCAGCCGAAGTTAGTACCTCCATTTTGTCACATCTGCAAGACATCAGGACACCCACGCACGCACTGCCCGTCTCGACAGACAACACCACAGCGACAACTGCGGCCTTCAAGCACCCAAGTTGCTTCGACACAAGCAAGTTCGACAACCACGATTCAAGCTTCAACGACCTCAACTGGACAACCTGCACAAGGAGCAAGACATATAGTCAACTGCATGGTCAAGATAAACGACTCTTGCATAACAGAGTCACCACCCCATTACTCACCGGAAGAGGAGCTCGACAACAGGACGCCTCGTCGCGAATCACTCCATCCAAATCCGACTTACGCCGCTATCGCTCAAAGTGAACCGTCCGGCCAAGACACCTGGTTCTTGGACAGTTGCTGCGGGCAACACATGTGCTCGTCCGGGCGTTTCGTACAACGCGAACATCGACTCCAACGGGAAGTGATCATCACGGTTGCCAACAACCAAAACCTGCGCACACGAAGACAAGGAGTGGTACAGCTTCAGTCAAGAGAAACAAATGTCATACTGCACATGTCTAAGGTACTCATCGCTGAAGGACTCGGCTACAACTTACTGAGCGTTAGCCAGTTGATGGCGAAAGGAATTCATCTGGAAGCCGACAGCACGACCCAGGAGTGTGAAACTATGAGCAGAGGAATGAATTGACTAAGTCAGAGTTGGGTACAAATACAACCCTAGCAAACTGTACCCCATATGTGCTACCCCACTATAGCCTACAAACATGCATCAGCTATAATAATCTGACACACCCCCATAGGCAAAGTGGGGGAGAACAAGGGGTCACAAGACCAGTCAAGCAAAGCAAAACAAGCTCAGGGTGGATCACAAAGTCACCACACAGTCCGAGCACAAGAGCAAGGCCAGAGGCCAGTTCACATGCAGGAGTAAAGACATATATATAAAACTAGACAAGCAAGAGCAGGTATATATATGTCAAAGTACAAGTAAAGTCAAGAAGAGAGCAAGTGAGGCAAGACAGGTACAAGACCCAGCTGGGTACAAAAGCGCTGATGGTCGCAAGGCGCAAGTGCCTTGGTGAACACATCAGCAGTGTTGGCCTCAGAGGCCACGTAAGCAAGTCGCAACTGACCACGCTGCTGCAGCTCACGAGCAAGGAAGTAGCGGAGAGCAATGTGCTTCGTTCTGTGCTCCAAGCGCTGCTCTCGACACAAGGCCAACATGGCCTTGTTGTCTACGTACAGCACTGGAGGAGAACGAGGCAGCTCTCCAAGGTCAGTCAGCAGGTAGGTGAGCCAGCGAAGCTCCTGTGCAGCCATGGCCCCGGCGTAGATCTCAGCCTCACAACTGGAGCCGAGAACCGAAGACGAGCGAGTAGACCGCCACGAGACAGAGCCGGAACCAAGGCTGAAGGTGTAACCCTGTGACGACCGCTGCGTAGCCTGGTCGTCAGCCCAAGAAGCGTCTGCGTGCCCAGTAAGGACCACTGGACTCCGCCCTCCAAGCACTAGCCCCATGCCCGACGTACTGCACAGGTAGCGCAATACCCTCTTCGCTGCAGCCATGTGCTCTGGTCGGTGTCTCCCAGGAGCAACATAGCGTGCAAGGATGCTCAGAGGGTATGCAAGGTCAGGTCGAGTGCAGGTCATCAGGTACATGAGGCAGCCAACAAGCTCTGCATACGGACCACTCGACTCTACGGACTCATCCGAAGGCAGAGCTGAGAGTGAGTGGCGAGTAGGCAGAGGAGTGGCCTGAGGCGAGGAGTACGTGAAGCCGAAGCGCTGAAGGACCTGCTGCACCATGTGTGACTGAGTCAGGGTAATGGTGCGGCGTGCTCTGTCCCGAGTGATCTGCAAGCCAAGGTAGCTGCGCAGTTCACCCAGGTCTGTGCACGTGTGTCTCTTCAGCAGCTCGGACTTCACGTAGGCGAGTCCAGCAGTGTCCGCTGTGGCAAAGACCAAGTCGTCGACGTACACGAGGATGTAGAACGGCGGCAGGGAAGTGTCGGTGCGAAGAAACAGCGACGGGTCAGCAGTAGAAGGAGCAAACCCAAGAGCCGCAAGCGTAGTCCTCAGTGTGTCGTGCCACTCACGCGGTGCCTGGCGGAGACCGTAGACTGGCCGTCGGAGGCTCCACTGGGTGCCAGGAGGGAAAGTCCCAGTGAAGCCAGGCGGACGGCGCAGCCAGATCTCCTCGTGCAGGCTACCCTGCAGGAACGCAGTGCTGAAGTCGAGAGAGTGAAGCTCGTAGTCGCGCTGAGCGGCAATGTGCAGCAGCACCCGAAGAGTGGTCATCTTCGGGGTGGGAGAGAAGGTCTGAAAGTAGTCAACTCCCTGCCGCTGACTGAAGCCACGAGCCACGTAACGCGCCTTGAAGACAGGCGGCGAGCCCGGCGGCCGCTTCACCCTGAAGATCCACATGCCACTGACGATGTTCGCCCCAGGAGGGGGAACCGCGTCAACGTAGGTGCCTGTGGACTTCCAGGAAGCCATCTCTGCATCCATAGCTGCCTGCCACTGAGAGGAGTAGGGACCCTCTACGGCCTCCGCGTAAGAACGCGGAGTCGGGATGTCTAGTGCATCCGGGTCTCCCTCAGGGGCTAGCAGTACAGACGCGAGACGAGGTGAAGCAGCGGCTAGACACTGGAACTCCTCCTGCCTGTCCTCTAGGACGTCCGTGCCAAGGGCACACTCACCCCCGACGGACGGAGGACAGGCGGACTCAGACTCAGCGACAAGACGAGCAGCGTAGTCTAGACGACAGCGCGCAGCAAAGTCGACAAGCTCAGTGACAAGGGCAGACGCAGCAGACGACTCGAAGGAAGGGTCAGTGACAGCAGTAGCAAGGAGACGCGTGACAGTAGGACTGGCAGCACGAAGAGAGTCCGACTCCGGGTCGGCAAGAGCAGGAAGAGAGGAAGCAGGAGGAGAAGGCAAAGGGGCACGCAGAGGAGCAGTGGACGGACGCAGTGACATCCGGTGCGTGCCAGGGACAGGAGGAGGACGCTGACGCGACCCGCGACCACTAGCGCGCTCAGTACGAACAGGCGACGCAGGACGAGACGCAGGCTCACGACGCTCAGTAAGACCTCCAGTCGGACCAGCGTAGGGAGAAGGAGCAGGCAAAGGGGAGGCAGGCTGTAGCTGTGGCTGTGACCGGACAGGCTGCGGACCCTCTAAGGAAGGAGGAGGAGGTGTAAGACCAAGAACCTGCTGCAGGAGCGGAACGAAGTACGGTCGAGGCCGCGCGGCGACGCCAGAAACAGCAGGAACAGCACCAGCACCCCCGGCAGGAGCACCCACTCCAGCAGCACCTCCAGCAGAACCACCAGAAGCTCCAGAACCTCCAGCAGCAGC